GAACCGAGGAGGGCGCGCCAAACCCCGCTCAGGCCCTTGGGCCTGGCAGGCTCGGCACCCCAGGAGGACGGACGGCGGCCACCCAGGGCCACCCGAGATCCGAACACGAGGCGGATCCAGCAGCGCGGCCGAGGCGGTAGGGCCCCCAGGGCCCACCCCGACCGCGCTCTCCGCCCTCCGTCGCGCCGCGCTCGTGGCAACCGCCGAGAAGACAGGCGATCTTCCCAGCGCGGGTCCAACTCGCCGTGGCCGCACGGCGCCCCTCGCCACGCGGCGATCTGCTGCGCTCGGGCCTGCCCTCGGCGAGCCCTCTGCCTCTCGCGGCGGCCCCAGCCTCCGCCCCTCGGGCAGCAGCAGCAGCAGCAGCAGCAGCAGCAGCAGCAGCAGCGGCAGCAGCAGCAGGGGCGGGCGGGCCAGGCTACTCCTCCTCCTCACGCGCTGCACTCGAGGCCACGCCGCCTCCGACCTGTTGTGCGCAACGCGGGCCGCCAGGGGTCGCCGGGCGAGCCGCCGGGGCCGCATGGGGGCCGCACGAGGGGAGGAGGAGGAGGAGGAGGAGGAGGAGGAGGAGGAGGAGGAGGAGGAGGGCCAGTGGAAACCCAAGAGTCATCAACGATTTTGGAATTAACCCTCCCTCCAAGCTCCCTCTTCATAGGCCCCTTGAGCGTTTTTTTTTTTCACTGAGGTAACTGTTTCGTTGGAAGATACTCGTTTGAAGATCCTGAAGCATGCCAAAACATTGTTCTCGGGATTTTAACGCCACGTATCAACCTGACTGTTGCGTCTTGACGATCCAGAATCCTGCCGCAACGCCATTTTCGGAACTTCAACACAGCGAATCAACATAACTGTTGTGCCCGCATAATCCTGATCCCTTCCAAAACACCATTTCTGGTAAGTTGCTCATGGGTAGCCATGAAACTCGTGCACATGTTTATAACGAGTGTGCGCGGCGCTAAGGCGAGACCCACATTTTGAAAAGGACGAGCCCTCAGTCCATGAAACTCTTGCACATGTTTATAACGAATGCGCGCGACGCTAAGGCGAGACCCACATTTAAAAAAAAACAGCCCGCCCTCAATCCGCAAAACTCTTGCAAATAATTAAAACGAATGTTCGCGGCGCGCAGGCGAAAGCCACATTTTGAAAAACACCCGCCCTCAATATGTGAAGCTCCTTTAGAAGCGAATGTTCGCGGCGCTAAGGCGAGAACCACATTTTGAAAACCACCCGTCTTCAATCCGTGAAACTCCAGCAAATGCTAAAAACAAATGCGCGCGGCTCTAAGGCGAGAGCCACATTGAAAAAACGGCCCGCCAACAATCCGTGAAGCTCTTGCACATGTTTAAACGAATGTGCGCGACGCTAAGGCGAGAGCCACATTTTGAAAACGGCCCGCCCTCCATCTGTGAAGCAGTTGTCACTTTTTCAGCTTCAGAATCAGAAATGGTGAGGAAGCTTCAGGCGAAACGCACGGCCCGCCCTAAAAACTGGCCTCGGGGTGCGACAGGGAGGAGTTCTCTATAAGGAGAAAGAATGGACGAGGAGGAGGAGGAGGAGGAGGAGGAGGAGGAGGAGGAGGAGGAGGGGGAGGGGGGCAGGAAGAGGAGGAGGCATGGAGAAGGAGGGAGGTGGGAGGCAGGGAAGGGAAGGAGCAGGGAGAAGAAGAGCAGGAGGGGCAGGGCAGGGCCGCGCGGTGCCTGGCCATCGGGGGAGTCCGGGTCCAACGCGCGGGGAGGGCAGGCGAGGAAAATTCGGCAGGCCGCCCCTCCGTCAAGACGAAGACAAGACGAGGATAACATCGGATAAGGATAAACCGAGACCTCTGAGATCCCAGCGTAATCATGCACTTCACGACGAAGCCAGGACGAGGATACCATCGGGCGGCTCTGGAGGATGTCTCGGGCGCCGCGGCCTTCTCAGAGCGTTCCCGAACGCTCTGTAACGGATTTATCCTCGTCCTAGCCCCGCCCGATCCTGCCCGCAGACGGAATTCCTGCTACCCTTCCGGGTGGCGTCAACAGCGGTGGAACCAAGCGCTGCATCAGCATAAACTTTGAGAGCTCCGCGCGGATTTCTTGGACCGGCGCTGGGGCCCCCACGGCGGCGCCCACGGCGCTGCCCCTGGCGCGCTTCGCGCGCTAGAAACGGGCGCCGATCCAAGAAATCCGCGCGGAGCTTCGAAAGATTGTGTTTATGCAGTTGTTTCTTCTCCGATGTAAGTGCTGAGGCGGTGGCGATCATGCATATCCACCGCCTCGGGAACCGATGGCCCCCGTGGGGGCCAGAATACATCCATACACACCACCCGCCGAGGTCCCCGAAGATCGATCTACCAGGCGGTGGTTAACAGATAATTCTCCGCCTCGGAGGAACGTCGTTCGAAGTTCGAACAGTCTTGGGCAGTTCTTGAGCCTACTTCCCGAATCATCTGACGATCCCCGCGGAGAGATTCGTAATTAGACCTCCCAGGAGGGAGGAGAAAAAGCGGAGAAGGAGCAGGAGGAGGATGACGAGGGATGGGGAGCATGTTCATACTCTTCGGCTTTATTGCGCCTTCCGGGAGGCCCCCGTCGCCCAGGCCAGATCCGGATGCCTGAAGGCATTTGAAGTTAGTAACTGTTAGGCGGAGTTATAACTTAGTTATAACTCATTTATAAAAGTTAGCATGTTGATTTATTTCGGATAACATGATAGTTTTTCGGCTAACATATACTTGATTTTGGGGCGTTCAATGTTGTTTCAATTTCGATGTTGTGTTTCTTGCGGGATGTTTTGAAGATGTATGCATTGATGTGAAGATGTATGCTTCTACATCGCAAACGCGTCAGCATTCCAATTTGCGATACTCAACTGAGCACCTCTGACCGGCGTCACGAAGAGAAGCTCAACGGGCATTCGTGTTCGCGACCTGGGACTTCGAGGTAGCTCCTGGGCCCTGGGAGCGGAACGACCCGTGACGACAAGCAAGTCAGGGGATGGGGTCGAGCATGTCACGACTTCGGAGAGTTCGGGAACAAGACGTAGTTCTGTGGGGCTCTGCGGGGGTCGGGGGTCTGGAGGGGTGTTCGGGGGCCTGCAGGCTACGGACCTCATGGGAGTGTCCAAAGAGCGCCGAGCTGACCAGAGGCCAGGGTAAAAACACCAATTGCTAAACCTTCTCTAGCGGCGAGATGCTTCGAGGGGGCTGCTTGCGAACCACCAGCATGCACACCCACATAGCACGCGCCACCCAACAGAATTGGTTATCTTATCTACCCTCTTCCCTCTCCCACCTCCCCCTCCCCTGCTTCTCTTCCTTCACCACCCTCCCCCTTTGTCACCGTCACTTCGTGGACCATCCTCGCGAATCGGCGACGGTCAGCATAAACCATGACCAAGATTGTCATCGACAAGATCGCGTGGCATCTTAGTCAGCTATCATCATCGTGTTTCTCCCCTCGATCCCCGTCCTCGTCCTCGAATCCCCCCCCCACGGTAGACGATGATGTAACTCGGCAACACCTGCTCGTTGCGCGCGGCGAAGCGGTGCAACGCCTGGGCCGTCGCCTGAGCATGCGCGCTAAGCACGGGGCACGGCCGCTGGCTCTACGCTCGACTGGGCTGCTCCAACTGTTCGTCGTCGTCGTCGGCGTCGGCGTCGCCGCCGCCGCCGCCGTCGCCGTGGTCGTCCCCGTCGTCGTCGTGGTCGCCGTTGTCTCCGTCGTCGTCCTCGTCCTCGTCGTCGCCCTCATCGAACCTAGGGGGTCCCAAAGTGACAGACCGTGCGGTGACCTCAAAATCCCCGAAGACCTCGCCGCACAGTCCGTCACCGCACAGGTCCCATGGGTCCCATGACCGTCGTCCGAGACGTCCTCTCGGAAAAGCGGTCCAGGTCACAAGACCGTGCGGTCACTCCGGATCCCCACTGACTCACCACGCGGTGTGGTCACCGCACCGTCCGGGGCCCCCGACCATTGCTTGACTCGGCGCTTTCCGCCCGCCCTGGGAGCACCTCTCCTGAGCGCGTTCGGCGCCCGAGCCCATTCGGCAACCGAAAGGGCAGCCGCATGGGCTCGACTCCAACATGCCAGCGGGCCGCTTGGGTCCGGCAGCCGAACGGGCTCGATGCTGGGCCTATTCGGCATGCCGAACGTGCTCAGGAGGGGGCCCTGAGGTGTGGGTGCCATTTCCTTCTGCACCTGGCTGCTGTGGATTTGCTGGATGTGGTTGCCCTCATCGGCTCGACGTGTGGGTGCCGCTTGTCCGAGGTGCCCTGGGCTGCGCTGCACGTTCGGAGGGCGGCGACCCCTCCAAAAATGCACCCTCCACACCACTCTGAGCGTCCAGCGCGAGGGCACCCTGGCCAAGGGACGCCTTTCCGTGTCGCATATCCCGGCTGCTCTTGATGCACATGGCCAGCCAGGGTGGTGGCCCGAGGGGTCCCACTGTGTGGGCCAAATGCGACGGCCCGATGCACACGTATCTGCCCCGACGGCGCTGCGACGTGGATCCCGTGGTGCTCTCACGGTGCCTCGATCATGCCTCGACCGATCTCCGATAGTGCCTGCCCCGACTGTGCCCAGTTCAGGTCGGTTTCCGATGTCGCCAGGGGGGTGTCGCGAAGGTATGCTTGCCACCAAGTGCAGGCGGGCCTTTCACGGTGATCGTGATGATCCATGACTAGATGCCTCCCAAGTGGGGTCAGAGTAGATGGGGTCGGAAAAAAGCCGCATCGTCGATGCATCACCGATGCATCGGCGATACATCGGCGAAGTCGGCGACGCATCGCCGCCGTCCGCGTGGAGTGCACCGGGCTCCACATCGAGCCACATTCCCGATGCATCGGCGATGAGGCGCGACCCTCCGATCCCATCCACACCGGCCCCATTTGGGAGGCCTGGAATGACGCTGCTGATGATGGCCGCGAGGTCGTGTGGCTCGGAAAAAATCCAGAAGTGAGTTCGAGGCTCAGCCTCCAGCGTCGACCCCCGCAGGCTGGGCCCCTCCCGCTGCACGGGCTAGCCCTTCCGCGTCTGCCTGTAGAGGTACTCGTTGTAAAGCGCGAAGCTGCACAGGGCCACGATCGCGCCCAGGGCCACGAGCAGCATCGCGACGTCGAGCCCCGTGAGGGCCTGCTCGCGAGCGCTGCCCTGGCGCGCAACCGCAGCCTCGCCCCCGGCGGCGCGCCTCCTCTGCGCCGCGTGGCGCGCGATGGCGAGGGAAACGAAGCCCAGAGCCAAGACGAAGCCAGGACCAGGTCGGGGGTTGCTAAAGGTGCCCCTGGCCCAAAGTGCCCCCAGCTTTCCGTTCAATTTTGGAGCCCCTGGGGCCAAGGGCACTTCTAGCAACACCCGACCAGCAAAACATCGAGTGAGAATGGATCCGGAAGAGAGAATCTCTCAGACCCGGCGGCTCTGGAGGATGCCTCGGGCGCCGCGGCCTTCTCAGAGCCTCAGGCGCCGCGGCTCAGGGGGGGGGGGGGGACTGGCTCAGGGGGGAAGCACGGCCCCGGAATCAGCGATCCATCGCCGATCGGCGACAGGTCCTCGATCGCGAAATCCCATGGGTTCCCGGGCACGGTGAGACTACCGCAGCCCGATCGGCCATGAACGGGCGCTTCGGGGTCGATGCTCCCCTCCTCGCCTCTCGCACGCTCCCCCGACGTTCCGTTGTTGCTCCCAAGCGTGAATCCACAGAAGTCTGGACTCCTTCCCGGGATCCAGCTTTGCATCCCGAAAAGTTGTGTGGCGGTCCCGAGGAGGAGGAGGAGGAGGAGCAGGAGGAGGAGGAGGAGGAGGAGGAGGAGAGAGGAGAATGAGGAGAAGGAAGAGTAAGAGTAAGAGGAGGAGGAAGAGGAGGATGGGAGGAGGACTAGGAGGACGAGGAGGAGGAGGAGGAGGAAGAGGAGGAGGAGGAGGGGGAGGAGGAGGAGGAGGAGGAGGTCCCCGAGAGGCCGAACATCGCCGAAAGCCTGCCGCCGCGAGGGCTTCACGGCGCGCGAGGGGCTCCGGGCCTCGCCGCCCCCGAGCTGGGCTCCGGCGGCAGAGCGCCGCCGAGCGACGACGCCTGCAGCACTGCGGCCCTCGCGGCCGAGGCCTGCTCGGCCTGCGGCCAGCGATCCTGGGTCGGGGAGACGTAAGACCCGGGTACGGGGGACTCGGAAATCCCCGACGAGGTCGTCAAAAAAATGACGAGGCCGAGCCTGCATTTTGACGAGGCCTCCCGCTGCAGACATCCCACAAAACTCCTCCTCGTCAAAATCCGAGGCGCGGTCGTCAAAAAAAAATGGCGAACCCGAGTCCCGGCAAACCCGGGTCTTACGCTCCCCCGACACATCGGCGATGCATCGGTGATGCATCGGCGATGCATCGGCGACGCCGGCGTGGAGAACATCGGGCTCCGCATCGAGCCGCATCGCCGATGCAGCTGCGATGCGGCGCGATCCTCCGACACCATCTGCTCGGAGGCAATGGAGGCCCAGAGTCGGCGACTCCGAAAGGTGTGGCTTGCAACGGGTGTGGTTTGCAGATGGCACCCCGGGGGGACACCCCGGGGCGCGGGGGAGGACCTCGACAGCGCTCTCCGCCGCGCCCCGAGGAGGCCCGACGAGGACAATCTCGCACTCCCCAGGCCCACACGGTGCCGATCGCAAACCACCCCCCAGCGTAACCATACACTTTAAGACGAAGCCGGGACGAGGATAACATCGGGCGAGAATAAACTGGGAATCTCTGAGATCCCGCGGCTCTGGAGGATGTCTCGGGCGCCGCGGCCTTCTCAGAGCGCTCCGGCACGCTCTGAGAGCGCCCTAGAACGCTCTGGAACGGACTCGCCCTCGTCCCAAGGCCCCGCCCGAAGACCTCCCTTCGCGTCGTCCCCTCCCCTCCCCTCCCCTCCCCTCTCCGAAGACCTCCTCGTCCCACAGCAACGCCCGACCCTTTATAGTCGCCGATAGAGATCCGCCGCGACGTGCCCGGCGGCCATCGACGAGGCCGCCTGCAGAGCGGCCGCCTCGGGGTGCTGGCGCGCACAGGGGGGGGAGGGGGGACGGGGGGAAGACGTTTTTCAGCAGGAGGCTGCGTCTTAGAAGGCGCGGGCCTCATAGCCTTGTGAGAAGCAGGGGGGCTTCAAAGATTCTAAGAAGCCTTTTTAGAGGCCGCTCAGATGGGGTCCGAGTAGATGGAGTCGGAGGATCGCGCCGCATAGCCAATGCATCGCCGATGTATCGGCGATGCATCGCCGAAGTATCGGCGACGTCGGCGTGGGGAAAATCGGGCTTCGCATCGCGCCGCATCGGCGATGCATCGGCGATGCGGCGCGATCTCCCGACCCCATCTACTGCGACCCCACGTGGGAGGCCTAGACTAGAAGAAGAAAAACTGCACCAGCACAAACTTTCGGCGCTCCGCGCGGATACCATGGATCTGCGCGGAGCGCCAAAAGTCTATGTTCGTGCCGCTGTTCCTCCTTCGATCGACTTCCCCCCTCCCCCCCCCTCTTCGGGCCGGGCGAAAGGGGGGAATAGCAAAGGGGGCGTTCGAGAATCAGCTTATGTAGCTGATTTTCCCCGGCGCCTCCCGGCGCCGGAGGCGGCTATCTATCGAGGAATGGGCCCCTCGGTGGGGCCGCAACCAGCTGCATGCAGCAGACTTCGTACCCCCCCACCTTTCCCCAGCCCCCCCCCTCTCGCCTGGCCCCCTCCTCACATCCCCCCCCTGCGCGTGGCTGAGCCTCGGGGTGCCGGCGCGCGCCCCCGCGCGCCACGGCCTCCGGCCGGGCCTCTGCCCCGCCGTCGGCCGTAGGCGCGCCGCGGTGGGCGCCCTCGGCGGCAGGCGCGCCGGCGCCCGCGGGCGCAGCGCGGTCGGCAGCGCGAGGCGCGCCGCGGGCGCCCTCCGCGTCGTGGGCGCCCAGGGCGGCCGGGGGCCCGCCGGGGCCCGCGGGGCCCGCGAGGTCCCCCGCGCCGCGGTGCCGAGCGCGGCGAGCGAACAGCACGGACCCAGGACCAGGCAGTGCGGGAGCGGTCGCAAGAAACCGTCGCAGCAAGAGCAACCCTGAAAACCCGCGCGCGGGGTACACCTGAGAGGAAACCCGGAGCACCCTGAACGCAGCAGCTTCTTGACTGCCCCGCGCAGCGCGAGGATCGAAGAAACCCAGGGGTACCCTGGCGAAAAGCATGTGGTTTCGTGATGCGCACCTCCACTCACTGTATGGGGGGAAGTTGGGAGGACGGGCCACGGGTATGGGTGCGGGTTGTCGGACCCTGAGGGGGCGCTCCCGTTCGAGCGGGGACCCCCCTCCGACAACACGCACCCATAGCACAGCCCCCTCCGTCCCACCTATGGGTGTAGGTGCGTGGTGTTCGTTCGTCAGAGTGCGGGGAGCAGGAGGGGGTACGCCACCCGCCCCCGACCAAGCCGACCCGTCGGCAAAGTCAGTCATGGTGGCGGCACTGTTGTGCCCCCGTCCTCGGCCTTTCCGAGGCCACATCCGTCGCCGTGCCTGAACGACGTGGTCGGGTCAGAAGGCCAGGTGCTGCTCTGGTAGGGCTTTCCCTGCAAGATTGCTTGCACCCGAAGGTTCCCACTTGTGTCACTACGTGATTGGATGGGTCCGTCGAAGCTTCCTCGCTGCGGCGACGCGGCGAAACTTCGACGGACACACCCAGAGGGCGGAAACGAGGCGGCAACGGGCGGCGACGCGGGACGGCAGCCGCCCACTTCGCGGGTCTGGCGAGGCTTCGCCGCGCCGCCCCCCACTGCCCCACACACTGCCGCCAAGCTGAACGGGTCCATCGAAGATTCGCCGCGTCGCCGCCCGTTGCCGCCTCGTGTCCGCCCTCTTGGCGAGTCCGTCGAAGTTTCGCCGCGTCGCTGCCAGGTGCCGCCTCGTTGCCGCCTGCTTCGCGGGTCCAGCGAAGTCCAAGGACCTACGGTGCCCCAAGAGGACACCGAGACGGCCTAAACGGGCCCCCAGGACTGCCTTCGAAGGCTTCCGAAGAGCGAAGAGCCGTATACGACGGCCCAGGAAACCCAGGAGGCCCCATGAGGCCCCCGAGAGGCTCCCAGGAGGCTCCCAGGCTCCCAGGAGGCCCCCAAGAGGGCCCCAAGAAGCCTCCTCCTGCTTGTCCTCACTCTCTCCTTCCCCTTCTCCCCCCTCCTCCTGCGCCTGCTCCACCCCGATACCCTCGAAAAGGCTCCTCCCCGTCGCACCCGCAGACGTGCCGGTGGGTCGGGCACCGTGGGCTTCGCTGCAGCCTTCCCCACTGCTCAGGGCCCCGAAGCTTCAACGGTGGAGGGCGGCGTGGCTCTCGCCGCGGCGCCGCCCACACTCGCCCTCAGCATGTGCAGCATCTGATGGGCGTGTTCTCCACCACCACCACCGCCATGAGTTGGAGGGGGAGGTGGTCCTCCTCCTCCTCCTCCTCCTCCTCCTCCTCCTCGTCCTCCTTCTCGTTGTCCTCCTCCGCCTTCCCCCCTCCACCTCATGGTGGTGGTGGTGGTGGAAAACGCGCCCATCAATCTTCCGGGACGGAGGGCGGCTGGCTGGGAAAGTGGTGCTCTCGCCGTAGCGCAGCGCGCATTCGTCCAGAGATGCCGCAGCAGTTCCCAGGGTGCCGGGCGGCTCCTTGTCACAGTCTGGCTTCGCATCAGCGCCACGCACATTCGTCATGCAAGTCTGCAGCAGTTCCATGGGCTCGTCGGACTGGGGTCCCGAGGATGGTGGCCTGGCACCATCGAAGATGACCAGGGCGCAGCAGTCATCATTCGCGGTAGTGGAGTCCCAGGACTTCGGCGTTGAAGTCCCAGTTATGGCATTTTGGAACGAATGAAGATTCTCAGACGGTTGTGTTTCAAAGGGGCACGGTCGGGACAAAAACAATCTTTCTTGTGGGGATCTATAAAAAGGGCACTTGAAGGAAGGGTTTGTTACAACATCGTTGATGCGCCTTGGGTTCACAGCGGTCATCCTCCTTCTCCTCTTACATACGCAGCGCGGACGAAGACGAGACCGAGATCAAGACCTCTTCCAATCAGACCACCCTCCCTGTCCTCTTCCTCCTGCCCTTCTTCCCACATAACTGTCCCCCCACAAGGTTCCCACACTGGCTGTTGGGGACACATGGTCCAACAGCTTGGCCGATTGGCGGCCCATCGCTTGGTTCGGAATCGTCCGAGAGGGACACCAGACGGCGTTTGCCCCAGAATGGGTCAAGAAGGCCCCGAGACGTTCCAATGGGCACCCAAAAAGGCCCCCACGAGGCACTCGAGTAATACAAGAAAATGATTAATCGAGTTCCCAAGCATGTTTCATTTGAGTTGTCTTGCATATCGAGAACAAAGATTGTGCAGAGTTTACGGGCCTCTCTATGGAGACCGCTCACTGACGTGGAATGGGGCGTTATATCGGTCTCCTTCCTTCCGCGCGGACGCAGACGAGAGGTCGAATGCACGGCCCTCCCGCTTCAGACCGCTCTCTGAACTGCTCATGGCAGTTCAGTCAGCTCGCTGGACTGCAGCGGGACGCGAACTCAACCTCCATCCTCCCCACGTTCAGACCGCCCACTGAACTGCAGAGGGGTGTGACCTCGCGCCCCCATACTGATCGGCAAAGACTTGGCCGAGTTCACGACCCGCCCCAGCTCAGGCCACTCGCTGTACTGGCGCGAGGTTGAGATCACGACCGGGCCCAGCTTAGACAGATCGCTGAACTGCACCGGGGCGTGAACTCGAGCAACTTCCTACAGCGCGGACGAAGACGAGGTCGAGTTCACAACCAATCCCAATTCAGACCACTCGCTGAACTGAAGCCTGGGCATGACGACCTCCATCCTACCGCGCGGACGAAGACGAGAGTCCACGACCCGTCCCGAGTCAGACCACTCGTCAGAATTGCGATGCTCCCAAGCTGAGCCGTTTTTCAGCTGAGCTGTTGTGCAGGCCCGGTGGCGGGGTTTGCCGAAGGCAGCTGGAAAGCTTCCATCACATAGCTTGCACCACGTATATATTGCCATCGCGTAGCTTCCACATGCACAGGGCAATACCTCACTGCTTGGGGCCCACGCTGGCTAACACCTGCATTCTAATAGGGGACCCCCCTACAAGCAGAGTGGGGCGTGCACTCCCCCCCCTTCCAAGGGCACGATCCCCCGCAACAAAAAGCTGTGCGTCTGCGTCCCGAGCGTCCAAGATGGCCCAGGCAGGTCTTAAGGCAAACAAAATGACCGAAGATGCCTCGAAAACGGCCCGCGATGGCCCCAAGGCCGCCCAATATGTCCCCAAGTCGGCAAAAGATGCATCGCAGAGAGCCTAAACCACAGGAGGACCCCAACCAACAGGGTCCAAAGGAGCCAAAATTACTGATGCCCCTGAAGTTTTTGCATGACGTTCGCAGTCTCAACGTTCGGGGCGTCTGTGAGCTGAAGACGGCCTGAGAAGCCTAATTACTGGATGGCCCAAAGACAACCCAAGAGACCCCAAAGCCCACGATGGGCCAACAGGCAGTCAAGACGGCCCAAGAGAGACTCCGGAGGGACCCAAGACGGCCTCAGAAGACCTTCCAGAGCCAAAGACAACGCCAAGACAGCCCCACGACGGCCCCCAGACACTCCCATACGGCCAAGAGGGCCCCACGACGGCCTAAGAGAGCCCGAAGACGGCTTAGGAGGGCCCCACGACGGCCTTAAGAGGTCCCCAAGACGGCCCCACCCCAAGACTGCCCCACAGAAGGCCACGACAATCCCAAGACGGCCAAGCTGAGTTTCATGAGAGCTCCTTCAGAAGTGAAGACGAAAGGTGACGCATGCACGTGGCCCCCATCCTCGTCCTCCTCCTCCTCCTCCTGCTCCTGCTGCTCATCCTCTCCTCGTCCTCCTCCTCCTCCTCCTCCTCCTCATTCTCATCCTCATCCACATCCTTATCCTCATCCTCGTCCACATCCACATCGACATCCTCCTCCTCCTCCGCATCCTCCTCCTCCTCCTCCTCACCACCACCACCACCACCATCATCATCATCATCAGCAGCATCAGCATCAGCATCAGCATCATCATCATCATCGTCATCATCATCAGCATCATCAACATCATCATACTTATAATCAGCATCATCCTCGTCGTCATCATCAACAGCAGCATCTTCGTCATAATAGTCATCATCATCACCACCATCATCATCAGCATCATCGTAATCTGTATCAGCATCAGCATCAGCATCAGCATCACCACCACCACCATCATCAGCGTCATCAGCATCATCAGAATCACCATCGTCACCATCGCCATCACCGTCAGCCTCATAATCACCACCACCATCATCGTCACCACCACCACCATCACCATCATCATCATCATCATCATCATCATCATCATCATCATCATCATCATCATCATCATCACCTCATCACCAGCATCATCATCATTATCATCATCATCATCATCACAATCAGCATCATCATCATCATCATGACCACCACCACCATCACAATAATCGTCATCATAATCACCGTGCTCATCCTCATCCTCATCCGCATCCTCCTCTTCGTGCTCCTCCTCCTCCTCCACCTCATCATCATCATCATCATCATCATCATCAGCATCATCATCATCATCATCATCATCATCATCATCATCATCATCATCATCATCATCGTCATTATCATCATCGTCATCATCATCATCATCATCAGCAGCATAATCATCATCACCATGGTCATTATCATCGTCACAACTCTTCTAAACTTGGGGACACGAGATGTCACGCGTGACGGCCTGCCTGGACTGGCACGGTGGCGGGACTTGCCGCAGGCAGCTGGATACCTCGTGCCCCAGCGCCAGGAGCGAAAAGGCACCGGATGGGAATCAGTGTCCCAGGGGTGAGATCGAGAGCTCAGAGGGGCCCACATCACGAAAAAAACTTTGACATGGCTCCGAACGCCTGGGTCCAAGCCCACCCCATCCCTCGTCTACTGGACATTTTTGCCTGGCCCCCCCGCAAAACAGGACAGCACTCCGCCCCAGCGCTGCGCAGCACGCGGCGCGGCTGTGTTCGCGCCCCCGCGGAGCACCTCCTCGTCGGAGGGGGAGGCCCCGAGAGGCCGAGAGGTAGGTCTCTGGAGGAGGCCTTTGGAGGCCCCGGATGGATCGAGACCGTCCAGGATCCTCGATCCTCGAGCCTCAAACCCCGGTTCCGAGGCACCTCCTGGGAGGTCTTCGTAAGAACGGCGAGGGGCCATCAGGCTCGATCAGGGGGCCAGTTGGCCAGATCGGCCTGGACCAGCCCGGGACTAGGCTGGACTCATGCTTAGTGAGCGGGGTGAGGCGGGAGTCAACGGGACGATAGGCCAACTTGCCAGCGCCGATGCTGAATGCTGCCTCCCAGGAGCTGCCTGACCCCCAGGGGGGGGAAGGGCAGGCGTGCGGCGTACGTGCTGCTGCTCCCCCGCTGGCGGTGCGCCGCGAGCCCGCCCGAGCCCTGGCCCGCGGCGCCGTCGTGGCCCAGAAGTCCGGACCGCCGCTGGTGGAAGCACACCTCCTCCGCACCAACCAGCTCGTCGGCCTGAGAAGGGCATGTGAGGGCGAGGGCGAAGGCGAGGAGGATGGGTCCTTCCCGCCGTTGGGAGAACATCCGCCGTGCAGATTCAAGAACGCACCCGTCGGGGGAGGGGGGGGAGCGATCGTCCCAGGGGGCGGCTGCGACCTCCATGCGCCAACGCTTCACCACATGGGAATGTACAGAAGAAAGTTCCAGCCGGCCTGGAACGGGCAGCCCCCGCGGTGGACAACTCCTTACCATCATCGTGCCTGTTACGCTCGTGGGTTCGGAGGTCTTGCCTGAATGTAGCTTTTGGCGTTGCCGGACGGAGCACGACGTCGTGAACAACCGCGACCGGGAGCCCCCAACTTTTTTTTGTTCTTTCTTTTTTGTCCTCTTTGGCCATGGCCGCGGCGGCCTCGGCTCGTACTCTGCGATGCCCAAAGCGGCGGGCAAGCGCGCGGGTTCAGGCTGTGGCGGGCGGTCCGGATGACCGGCTTCTATGGCAGGTCCCCGGCTCCACCATGGCGCTCGGCTCCGCTCAAGCACCCGGCGCAGCCATAAGTGCGCACACGGACACAGGCCCGAGTCGCCCAGAATATGTTCTGGGCCCCCTGGCTCCACCAGGAGAAAATAAATAGGAGCGAGAAGACTCCATAATGACGATGATGATGATGATGATGATGAGGATGATGATGATGATGATGATTGCGATGATGATGATGATGATGATGATGATGATGATGATGATGATGATGCTGATGATGATGATGATGATGATGATGATAATGATGATGATGATGATGGTGATGATGATGATTGAGATGATAAGTATGATGATGATTGAGATGATAATTATGATGATGATGAGGATGATGATGATGATGCTGATTATGATGATGATGATGATGATGAGGATGAGGATGATGATGATGATGATGATGATGATGATGATGATGAGGATGAGGATGATGGGGTATGGAACCCACAACTGTTGGTCGAGCCTCGGATGCACGGCAAAACGCAACCTCCGCAAGACTACGATACTACAGACTCAAAATGCTTCGGCTTTAGCTCAGTGGTGGTGGTGGTAGAGCATGGACTCGTAGGTCGGGTACGGATAGAGCTTCTGATCCAGAAGGCCCTCGGCCTCATCGACCAGAGAGCGCACCTTGACCATCTGCAACTTAACTTTGTCGCAAAGGTATTCGGCCTCTGCGACCATGTCATGAGGAGCCTCCTTCATCATCTTCTCAAGCTTTTCGGTCTCGGTCTTCACCGAAGCGTACAGCGCCTTACGATTGCCCATCAAGTCGTGGGCGTCCTTGTACAGGGCTAGGTCCTGTGCAAAAGCCGGCATGAAACCAGTCTTGACCATGTCGACCATTGTGGCGACCTCGACGCTGAGAGTGGTATTGTAGGCCTCGTACATCACCTCAGCCCTGGCCTTGGTCTCCTCCTTGGAGAAGACGCCCAGCTTCTCGAAGAGCTCAACGTTCTTGTCCGAGGCCCACTGCTTGATGGCCATCGGTGTCGTGTTGAGGTTGGGGAGGCCGCGCTTGGCCGCCTCGGCCGGCCACTCAGCGGAGTAGCCATTGCCTGTGAAGATGACGTTGCGGTTCTTCTTGTACATCTCGGCCACGGCATCGCGCGCCTTCATGCCGCCCTCGATTTTATCGGACAGCGCGCTCATGCCGGCGGCCATTATCGTGTTGCAGATCATCACCGGGAAAGAGCAGTTCTGCGACGAGCCTACTGCGCGGAACTCGTAGCGGTTGCCGCAGAAGGGGAAGGGCGCCGTGCGGTTGCGGTCCTCGACGTTGGACTCCACCGCCATGGACGCCTTGCAACCAGTGGACTGCTGCTTCTTCTCAGCCTTGAACTCGTGTAGGGGACCGCCTGCGATCACCGCGTCCACGTGCGCTTCGAAGCCGGTGCCGGGGTAGAGCGAGATGATGGCCGGGGGCGCCTCCTGTGCTCCGAGGCGGTGGTCGTTGCCTGCGTGTGCCACAGCACAGCGCAGCATCTCGTTGTACTGCATGATGCCATGAGCGAGGCAGGCCAGGGCCGCAGTGTAGATGGTGCGTGCTTCATCCGTCTTGCCCGGGTAGAAGATCGGGTCGGGCGAAAGGGGGGGATAGCAAAGGGGGGGTTTGAGAATCAGCTCACGTAGCTGATTTTCCCGGCGCCTCCCGGCGCCGGAGGCGACTATGTATCGAGGAATGGGCCCCTCGGTGAGGCCGAAACCAGCTGCATGCAGCAAATTTCGTAACCCCCCCTTTCCCAATCCCCCCCTTTCGCCCGACCCGAGAAGAAATTGATGCCCGTGTCGGTTCCGACGGACCAGTTGGCGTGCTTGCCGCTGCCGTTGATGCCAGCAAATGGCTTCTCGTGGAACAGCACCATCAGGTTGTACTTGGCTGCCACCCTGTTGCAGACCTCCATGAAGTACACGTTGTTGTCGGCGGACCAGTTGGCCAGCCCGAAGATGGGCGACATCTCGTGCTGCCCAGGCGCCACCTCGTTGTGGCGAACCGCCATCGGGGTGCCCGTCCTCAGCATCTCCTGCTGCACCTCCACCAGCAGCTTGTCGACGAGCTCTGGGACGGGGGCGAAGTAGTTGAGGTCCATCTGCTGGCCGCGTGTGGGCAACTTGCCGAACAGCGTCCGGCCGGTGTTGACGAGGTCTGGCCGCTTCTTGTACAGGTCGGCGGAGACAACGAAGAACTCCTGCTCCCACCCGAGGTACGAGCGCAGGCACTTGGCATCGGACGCCAGCCCCAGGGCCTTCAGGAAGCGCATCCCCTGGGCGCTCACGGCGTCCTGCGAGCGCAGGAGCGGCGTCTTGTCGTCGATCGCCTTTCCCAGGTGCGTCAGGAAGGAGCACGGGATCCGGAGCGTGGTGCCTGCAATGATCGGGGGCGACGTCCGGTCCCACACTGTGAAGGCGGCGGCGGAGTGCGTCACGCGCAGGCCGCCGTTGGGGAACGAGGAGCCGTCTGTCTCGCCCTGGAACAGGCGCTCGTGCGGGAGCGTCGCGAAGAAGGGCTTGATCGCGCTCCCCGACTTGAAGTCGAGGTCGACCAGGGTGTCCATCTTGAGGGCGCCGACGGCACCGCCCACGGCACCGCTGCCGCCGCGGCACGGGAAGAACCAGTGGGCAAAGTCGGTACAGCCTTTCTCCCGCGCCCACCTGAACATGCCCTCCGCGATGGCCCGCTGGTCCTCCTCGCTGGTGGGGGCACCGGACACGGTGTCCTCGAGGAACCTCTTGACGACCGGCGCCGGCACGTACCTGACTACCTACCAGACCACCCCAACCCAACCCGAAGACCCGAATTCGACCCGAATTTCGGGTTGGGGGGGGGGTACGGGTTCCATATGTTTTTTCAGTGTTTCCCGACCCCCCCCCCCCACTGGAAATCGAGGATAAATTTGGGCCTTCGGGTTGGGTTGGGGTGGTTTGGTGGGTGGTGTACCTCCGCATGGCGGCGTCGTCGAAGATGTGGGAGGCCTCCAGCACGAGCGGGGCGCCGTCCGCGCCCTCGGGCGCGGGGCCCGCGGCCGGAGCAGCGCACTTGCCGCTCGTCAGCCCCATGGGGTCGGAGAGAGCGGGCCTCGGCGGCGGCCCCGAAGAGGGGGGGGCGAGCGGAGCGGGCGGCGGCACGCCGCGGGCCGGAGGACGGCCGAGCGGAAGCAGAGCTTGAGCCAAAGTGGCTCCGGAGGCGGGAGCCCCCGACCTCGGAAGCGGCTGGGGGGTCTGAGCTGGATGGGCCTCGAGACGATCGGTCAAGAAGGGGGGTCATAGAAGGGCAAATCTGGTCCAAATCGGTCCCTGGACCCACACTCCCCTCCCGAAGTCCATCGGGTGCAATTCTGCACCCCGCATCCTGTTTTAACGATCCCGGGGCCCGAAAACGGCCCCAAGAGGCCGAGCAAATCAAGAACATCGAACCAAGAGCATCGAACCTCGCACCCACTTTCTGCTAGCCGGAACCAGTGCTGGGCCACCCCCGAGCCCAGAATCGAATCGACAAGTCGGATCGGCGATCGACATGCCTCAGATCGGCGGAAATCGGCAGCCGAGTCGGGAGAAGTCAAATCGGCGGAAACCGGCAGGCCAATAGGCCTCCGCTGAGAAATCGCAATCCGAATCGGAATCCAAAATCGAATCGACCCAGACATCCGGCCGCTCTAATTTTTTCAATACGTGGGTACCGGATTTCCCCAGGGCTGGTCTTTCGTCCTGACTCGAAGTTTGTTCGACGGTCCCGAGGCCTGGTGAGGGCCACCAGAGGCCGAACATTGTCAAAAACCCGCCGCTCCAATTTTCCGGAGCGTCGGACCTCTGGGGAATCGGACTCGGAAGCCATCGGAATCGAATCGAAGCGACTCGGAGGAAGCGAGACGAGCCCCGAGACGGCAGAGCGCGGTATGCTCTCGGGCCAATCGCGTGGGGGCGACCCGGGCCCATCCGGGGGCCTCCGACAAGCCCCCCGTCGCCTCCCCCGCTCTGCCCCCTCTCGCGGGCTCGCTGCGGGATCCGTCCATGGCCCAGCTGTCCGTAGGCTGTCGGTGGGCTCCGTCCTCAAGCGGTCACAGAGCTGTCCGTTGTGGCCCCCCCTGCCGTGTTCGATGGAGAGAGGATCCCGTCCAAATGAATTCCCGGACAACCCCTCGGACAACCCATGCTGATTGATGGCGACAAGACGGCCTACCCCGGACAACCCCTTGGACAACCCAGCGGGGAGCTGGACAACCCCTCCAGACCCCCTTCCTTTGAAAAGCCTCCCCGGCAGCCTTCTGATGCCATAAGATATAGTAGGCCACAGTACCTTGCGCAGAAACGTCGCTTTGGATCTTTGTCCCATGCTTGCGTGATCATCGACAGATGAGCTGATAGCTCTCTGCCGCGATAGGCTATTCGTAGGGTTAGGCACGAGCTAAGTCCACATCGCAAACATGACCGCCGCGATCGCCGTGGCGGCCCCCAAAACCGACCCAGAGGTTTGGCTCGGGGTGGGATTTCACGCAACGAACATCGTCCATTTTGGTCACCGTCGATTCGCGGAGCATCCTCGCGAATCCGCGACGGCTGGCATGGACTCCGTGACCAATGTCGGCGTCGACAAGATCCCGCGTCATCTTGGTCATGGTCACCGTGTTGCTTGGCTGTGGTCTGGGCCTGCCCTATACGGTTCCACTCCGAGCCCAGCCAGCGTCTGAGCCCAGTGGGCCGTGAAGCGGACCAGGGAGACCGCGCCCACTCGGCTGCCGAGCGGGCCAAACGCCCACCCCCCTGGGCGGACACCAAGGTACCGATATCGCTACTCCCCAGGCCCCCCGCTCCACTCCTGGGGTGCGTTCTGACCAGGATCTCGGGGCGAATCCGGCCGGGGCGACGAATCGGCCGCCAGTTCGGCAGCCGAATGGGCTCGGACGCCGAGCGGGGGCTCGGGAAGGAGACCCACCCCCGAGAGTAAAGGGCCCCGTCCTGCGCGCTGTCCTCCGCCACGTGCCACGCCGCGCCGCCGTCTGCCGCCGCGGGGCACGCGCCGAGAAGCGTCGCGGCGGCGCACGCGCTCGGGATCAGCAAGCGCCGCATCGAGATCGCCCCCCCCCGCCGCCCCCCCCCGCACCGCACCCGCAACCGCGGGGTCGACGGAGTGCAGGCAGGCAGCACAAGAACAGCCAGGTCAGCGCTGGGTTCCGAGGGATCTGCCCAAGTGCCACTGGGGCCGCCGGAGCGCTGACCTGATCAACCAGCCATGGAGCTGCCGTCTCAGGGCCACAACGAGTCCGGTCGGTGCTCTGGCCTCCAGGCCACCACCTGGAGGGACTTGGCCGATCCGACCGGTGACCAGGCCCCCTCTGTGATCTCGAACAGAGCAGGGCTGTGGGGGGCCACGGGGGATGGCTGGATGCCAGCTGTGCGACGAAGTACACCGACCCCCCTGGCCGCACCGCTTCCCCCCCAAAAGCGACAGCACAAAAGCCCCCTCTCGCGAGCACAGCATGAGCTGAGCAACCGCCAAAACAAAACCTCGCGCGAGACCTCACGCGGCCTCCCTGCGCGCCAACGTCTACGCGGCCGGCCCTGGTGCTCTGCGTCGCTCGGTGTGGCGCGTGGGTTTGGGGGGTGGCCCTCCTTCCTCCCAGAGGGCGGTGGTTGGCGGCGCGCACAAGGGGATCGAGGGAGGGGGGAAAGCTTCTCAGGAGGAGGCTGCTTCTTAGAAGGCGCCGGCCCTGTCTATAGAGACCTGTGCCTTTTGAGAAGCAGGCGTACTTCTAAGAAGCCTTCCCCCCTCCCCCTACCCCACTTCTGCGCGTGGCCGAGGTGCGGCGGGGGTGGGGCAGGTGGAGCACGGAGGCCGCTCGGAGGAAGCAGACAGAGGCAGGACATGCAGCTGGAGGGCCGCCGAAGCACGCCGAGGGCGCTGGATCCTGGGCCGACGCTGGCTGCCGAAGAGCGAGGAAGGCGCTGAGCTCCAGCGAACGGCCTCCAGACGTGACGGCGGAGGGCGTGCGAGGCACGGCGCACCACCTTCCTGCCTCCTCCTCCTCCTCCTCCTCCTCCTCCTCCTCCTCCTCCTCCTCCTCCTGGGTGGGGGGGCGACAAAGGAATCAATCGCACGCCGGCGTGGGGAAGCTGTCGGCGTGATGCTGCTGAAGGAACACATCCGGCCTTCGGACAACAACCAGAGGAGTGACACCCGCTGACGGGCTCCCAACCACGGCGCGTCGTCTGAAGTCCTCCTCCTCCTCCTCCTCCTCCGCCTCCTCCTCCGCCTCCTCCTCCTCCTCCTCCTCCTCCTCCTCCTCCCTCCTCCTCCCTCCTCCTCCGTGCTTGCCCCTCCACTCCGATGAGAAAGACATGTACATCGTGCGGGGAGGAAGGGACTGGGAATCTACAGGGCACGATTGGGTAATAGGCACCTTCAACATACGCCACAGTGCGGATGATCTTCTGATTCCTTTCAAACCCATCCTCCCAACCCGAATAATAAGGATGCGCGGTAAGGATGCAAGGGCCTTGGACGACCATGTCGACACTTTGCGAGCGGGGCGCGGCCAGCGAAAGCGGCCCAGGATGGGCCGACAGGGGAAAGATGCAAGGGTGACCTTGGACAGTCGCACATCCTGACCATGAAGGTTGACCGCAGTACGGGTAATGTAATAATTTCTCCCAACTTCGGTGGCAACCCATGGGAGCCTCCCATGCAATCTCGTTGGCTCTTGCGAATCGACGCTGGTCGACGCTGAATCGACACTCATGCACACAACATCGACGCTATTCGACGCTCACCGACGCAAAATCGACGCCAATCGACACTAGTCGACGCAAAAGACGGAGTTACGAGGGCACCGAACGGAACCCACCCTCCCAACCCGATACCTCGTCTTCCTTGGGCGCCCGAGTTATCCGGGGTAACTCGGGTCCGGGGTAACTCGGGTTCGGATTCCCGAAGAAGGAACCCGAGTTAGCCCTGACCCGAGTTACCCCTGATGATGTGGGGCTCTGGACGCCCGAATTATCCGGGTAACTCGGGTCCGGGGTAACTCGGGTTCGGATTCCCGAAAAACGAACCCGAGTTAGCCCTGACCCGAGTTACCCCTGATGATTCGGGGCTCTGACTTCCTGACCTCTATAGACCGTCGTCGGTGTCGGGCCGGTGGGGCGGGGGCGGCCGTCGCTGGAGCGCGCGCGACGGCCACCAAAGGGTGTGGCCGAGCGGCCGCGCCCCGGCTCGAGCCGGCCAAGGGCTGCGGCCAGGAGCGAGCCAAAGTCGGTGGCGCGCGCAGAGGGGGGTGACGGCGGGCTCCTCCTCCTCCCCCTCCTCCTCCCCCTCCGCCTCCTCCTCCCCCTCCTCCTCCTCCTCCTCCTCCTCCTCCTCCTCCTCCTCCTCTTCCTCCTCCTCCTCCTCCTCCTCCTCCTCCTCCTCCTCTTCCTCCATCTCCTCCTCCTCCTCCTCCTCCTCCCTCTCCTCTCCAGACGGGGGAGGGCAGAAGGGAGGCGGGAGGATCAGGTCAGGGCTTCCTAGGAGGAGGCCGCTTCTGAAAGGCGCCGGCCTTCCATGTAGAGACGAGGCCCGCGCCTTCTATCGGCGGCGAGCGAGGGGGGAAGCGAGAAGGAGAGGGTCTTCTCAGAAAGTGCGGCGGGGCTTCTCAGAAGCCCTACGGCCTTCTGAGAGAATTTTTGTGCTTCCGGGGATGGTTAAAAAGGCTTCCAAAAGGGCCAGGGGACTTCCAAGCCCTCTGAGAAGGCCCGCCCCCTCTCTCTTCCCCCCCGGACTCGCCGCCAATTCTACTAATAAGAAGCAGGAGTGCTTCTGAGAAGCCGTCCCCCCTCCCCCTTGCCCCCCCCCTGCGCGTGGTCGACAAAGGCGGGCTGGCGCGAGCGGGGTGGGGTAAGAGCCGCAGGTCCCTGCCGCGGCAGCGCCGATCCTGGCCTCGTTCACCAGCTTCGAGCTTTTGTCCCTATCCCTGAGATCGGCAGGCCCAGACGCGATGACAATCCCAGGGTTGCGGCCTAAGAAACTCAGGGAAGCCTGGAGGGGAAAGCATCGAACCCAGGTGATGCCAATCTTGGGGATCGGGGTCGATTCCAGGCTGGGAACTCTTGACGCCGCGCGAGGTGTTCCGCCTCTCGGGCGTGCTCCGCTCTCTGAGGCCTTCTGCAGGAGGCCCCCGGCACGTCTCTCGCGCTGCCTCAGCGCGCCGTGGGCAACGTTCCTGCGGGTCCCGGGCCGGGGACGCGGAGCCTGAGAAGGCGTTCAGCCTTGAGCGCACGCGCCGCGCCGATCAAGCACGAGCCTCCCGTACGGCCAACCTTGCGCCAGAAGGGGCCTGCTCTTTCCCCCCCGGTGAGGTTGAGATGCTTCCCAGGAAGATCCCGGCAAGAACGAGACCCCAGGAGGTCCGAGAGCAACAAGCCCCACAAGGGCTCCTCATCCAGCCGCACTGGCCGACGAACCGCGGTGAACGTTGCTGTCGGTCATGCGGACCGTGAAAAAGGCGTGCCCACTCCAGGAGAATCCACGACTCAGAACCCCTCCTCCTCATGCTCATCGGCCGCTCTGTTCTGGCCCTTGCTTTCGGCTATGCGTGAACGCCTTGCGCTAGTCGGCGGCGGAACAAATGCATCTTATCCACTGCGCTGGCAACGAGTAGTCATTCGCCCAATGCTGCCGCCTCATCGTCCCTCTCCTTCGTCTCCTCCGCCTTCCCTTCGCAACTCCATCCGAATTGAACAATGCGAGGCAAAGACCGAAGCTCTCAGAAACAGAACATCAACCCTGGAAGCAGAACGCCAATGTTGCAATTGACCAGAGCCAGCTTCAGCACGCGACCAGAGGATCAGGAGATTGGTCGCAGCGGTCGGCTAATGTATGGCAACACCCAAGAAAGTCTGGGGATGGAAGACGCACAATCTGGAGCGACTGGAAAGAAACCCAGACCTCCGATGTCCGAGTTTGATTCCACACACGGCCCCTGGAAACTTCTGAGCCCCATGCGTGGAGGCATGCTTTTAATGCTGGCTCGTTATGTGACGGTCCTGCAGCCCGAAAAACATCCCCCGGAGGCCGAACATGAAGGACTGATGTTCCAAGACGCTGGCCGTTGGAGGTATGGGAAGGTGAACCCCCCTGGCGCCTGCCAACGTTGGCGGCGCCCACAAGGGGGAGGCTCGAGGGGTGTGGGCGTCTAAGGTGGCGGCAGGGCTTCGAAGAAGGCAGAAGGGGCTTCTGAGAAGGCAGGGAAGCTTCTTCAAAGCCCGCCCAGAATTTGAGAAGCCTTCTTTGAAGCATCCGTGGCCTCCCAAGAAAGCTTCTGCCTTCTAAGAAGCCCCTCCGCCGTCTCAGAGGGCCGTCCCCCTCGTGCCATGCCCCTTGTGGCCGCCGACGACGATGCGGCCGATCTGCTTCCAGTTTGCGCGCACTCCTGCCGATGGCAGCCCCAGCACGCACACGGAGTGCACATGCCCTCTTCGGCAGGCTTCTCTCATCGGATGCACAGCAAGCTCCTGGGTTGGCTGCGCCATCTCCGAGGCGGTCCCGTTGGATCTACAACCCCCTGGATGAAAAAGTGGTAGCCGCGGAGACAGCGCAAGAAGTGTTGATTGACTTCCGTTAGGCAGCGGGGCCCCGTGACTATGGTGGATTCGATGCAAATGCGGGAGTTTCTGGTTCCTCCATCCTCCACTTAAATATTGGAAGAGTCAAGTGGGGCTTCGACCTGAAAATGGGACTCCACCCACACCTTCCTTAGAAAAAAAACACCCACGCCTTCCAGGGCGATTGGAAATTCCGCCATGCCACCGGAAAGTGGCGAGTTCGTTCGGGACTTCCCCCGGACGTACCTCCAAGCCTCGAGTTCCCAGCTTCTGTCTTGATTATGCTTCTCTCGCACATGCTTCAGCTTTGCGCCGTCCCTGCTGTCGATTCCTGCGGCGGCTGGGAAGGGCTGCGGTCGCCGCGACGTGGAGAGGGACGGGCCTGACGTAATTTCAAGGGCTGCGGGCTGCTCTGAGGGGACCGGTGGCTTCAGTGAAGGCTTCGCGGCAGACAGGAGATCCCTCTGAGGAGAACCCCGCCTGCCATGCACGGGGCGGCCGCCCCGCTCGCGCCAAGCCCCCTGCGCGCAACCGATCTTGGCTGACGCACCCCACGGCCCACGGGGTCGCAGGCCGGGCGACCTCCGTCGGAGGCCCTCCGCACGCGCCTCCTTCGCCCGCCCCTGGATCCAACACTCGCTGGGCTTGGTGCGTGGACCCCCAGAGGTCTGGACCAAAAGGGTCGGCTGTGTATCCTGAGGCGTTGCCTGACGGTCCCGGGGCATGCTGAGGGCCTCAGGAGGCCTCTGTTCGGAGACTCGGATCTCGGGGGGGCTCCTCGTCACAGGGCGCTTCTACTCTGACGCCCCGAGGGCCCCGAGACGGGATTTTCGGGAAGCTGAAGAGTGGCGAGAGACTGAATGGGGTCCAGGAGATGCAAACACATCGATGCGAATTCCAGGGCCCGCCCCATTTTTCAAAACATGGATTTGCTTCTCCCCCACCCTTTCCAATTCCATGGACATCAGCGTTTAGTTGTGCTTGTCTGTTTGTCCCTCCCGATCGAGGCTTTCGGCCGCCTCCAAATGTCTTCCAACAGCGAGCCGCAGATTTTCAATATTTTTGCTCGCATGTTCAATGAACAAGCCTCGTGAGTGAGCCCTCCTTCTCAGACGCACGTGCTGTTTCCTAGGAGCGCGGCGCGCGCGTCTATGACTACCACGCTGCTGATTGCCACCGCCTGCGCCCTTCACGGGCTCGCCTTCCAGCGCACGGGCTTTACACTTATAGATTCGTCCCTCTTGATCTCTTCGGGTTGCCAGGGAGATCTCGGCCCCGTCCACCCCTGACACTGTCAGAAACTTTTAGCGACACGCTACTCGGGAAAGTGCCCACCAGAGGCCTCCGCGAGCGCTCCGAAGAGATTCCAAAAAGAAGAAATCATCCAAAACACCCGGTAGAGGGAAACAATTAGTGAACACCCCCCCTGCCCCCAAAACTCAAAGTTGGCATGCGCGGGGGAGACTGCGGTCGAGGTGCAATTCATCGGACCCACCGCCAACTTTGAACATTGGGGGGAGGGGGAGGCGTTCACAGATGAATGTGGTATGAGTGTTGTGTTCGCAATATTTTTCCGAGGCCTGCCGCAAGGACAACGTGCATGCTTAGCACATCGGCTCCAAGAGGGGGCCTAGACGGAGGACCCGGAGGAACCTCTCGAGCACTGGGCCATCAAAAACCCCCAGGATGCCCCGAGAGTCTCCCTAGAAGCCCCACGAGAGGCTCCAAAGATGCCCCCCAACGGCTGCATCGAGCGCTCCGAAGAGATTCCAACTCATAGAAATCGACCACCAAGTGTCCCTCTAGATCGCCTCAACACGGCCCAAGGAACCCCCAAGAGATGCCGACGACCGCCCCAGAGAGCTCCAAGACCCCATTACAAGGAAATCTCTCAACGGCATGTCGCCCACAAGGCAGGCACGGCGGCGGGATGGGCCGAAGGCCACTACGATAAATGTATACATCTGTGAATTTCTCTATCTGTCTCCGAATCCCTGGCAAGCGTCTTTGGGGCAAAAGGACCTCCTCGCATAAGCATCATCAACCACCTTAGCCTAATCCCTATCATTCGGATCGCGTCCTGCAGGGCCACTTATCCCAATGTTTGTCCTCGCTGACCGCCCGCTCTTCTACCATCCCTCGCTTCCTCATGCGATTCGTCCCTCCGCCGACTGAAGCAAACACGTAACACGTAGACGGAAACCCACGTCGGTTGCCCTAAGCGCCTGCTGGAGCTTCATGGAGATGATTGTGCGGAAGCTCGTGGCGCCCTGCTCAGATGATTGCGCATCCTCGAGCTTGAGCTCAGTCGCCCAAGAGTAATACTCAGTGCAGTGCGTGTCTAGCGAGGCCGCAAAGCCGAGCCACTCGGTGCCGTCTAGCGACCTGTAGACGTCGATTCCCACCACCTCGGCCCCCGGGACGGCAGGCTGCGAACTGAGAAGCACAGCGGGGAGATAAAGTCTGATCTCTGATGGCCATGGCGATGGCAGAGGTGACGGTGACGACGAGAGCGGTTTTGATGCTGATAGCGATGGTGACGCTGATGACAGAACTTGGAGTCAAAATGCCGCGCCTGGCTTCGGACACTGGAATTTCTGCGACACCAAGCATGGGTCCTGCGGGTCCGCTTTCGCTCGAAGGCGGTTCCTCCAGTGGCAACTCATGAGAGTCTCCAATGCCATCTTGCTGGCTTCTGCGAAACCGACCCGAACCGATCCTGATCGCCGTAATCGACGCTATCGATGCCGAATCGGCACTTCCTCATCGATTACCAGACGCTAGCGCACGACAGTACGCTCGCAAGGCGGAGTCGCGAGGGCATGTGACCGTTGTTTTTCTCTCCCGGGGAACAGTCGTGACCCGGGGGGGGTTCGGGCGGGGAAGTCAAGGTAACGGCGGCCGCGGCGTGCATCCGCCGGGGTGTTTCCGCGCCACTGGCGCATCAATCACACGCGTGCGCCACAGCATGTGGGGGCTGCCAGGCCACTCCCCCCAATAGGATCGTTAGCGCTGCCCAGGGGAGGAGGGGGGCCGGGTTACGAGCGTTACCCTGGGGAGGAAAAAAAACGCTCACCATGCCAGGCCCCGTGATTTCCTACAGCCAACCCGCATACCAAGGATGCGCGGTAAGGATGCAGGGGCCTTGGAGGGCCATGTTGAAACGTCCTCCGAACGAGGAGAGCCAGCGAGAGTCGCTGAGGATGGGCAGGAGGGGGCAAGGATGCAAAAGGGGCAGCCTTGGCACGCCGCTCATCCTTGCTGTGCGGGTTGGCTGTAAAACGAAGCTTCCCGGGCCTCGCTCGCACGGCCTCCCAGGCCAGGCTGTGGGCCGCGCCTGGCGGGGGGGCCCAGGAGCAGACCCCCGGGAAAGCGCCCGCCCCGGTCCGCTCCGCTCGGACGCCTCGCGCCTGGGCGGCGCGCGAGCAGGGCGAGGCGGTGCGCCGCCAGCGGGCCCGCAAGCGAGGGCGCGCTGCACTGGCGGCGGCTGCGTCTGCTGCGGTGAGCAGCAGGGGGAGCCCGTGGAGCACCTGCGCAGCCAGCGCGCGGGGAGGGAGAGGCAGAGGGAGCCCGGGGGATGCAAGCCGCGGCCGCCCGACGCCCGTGCCGTGGCCACCTCTCGCCCCGCGGAGCAGACGAGGGCGAGGACAGCCCCCGAGCTCCTTCACCCGCCGCCGCTCTCGGACGCTGCCCCGTGGACGCTGCCAGCGCCGTGGAGGCTGCCCCCGCCAAGGCCCTGGGTGCCGCGACCGTGCCAGGGCGCGCGCGGGCCCCCCCCCACGGTCAGGAACTTTGGGGTGGCGTTTCGCGGCGGCGGCCCCGGCGACACGCTGTGCCTTGCGAGCGGATAGCTTGTCGCTCCGCTCCGCGGGCCAGGAAGCTCAGAAAAGCTCGGGGCGTTGACGCCTCGGGAGCCGCGAAATGGTTCGCGTGTCGCGCGCCGAGGCGTGGTGGGCCAGAACCGGCGGAGCGACACGCTAAGCCCATGTCCCTCACTGTGAGTAACGAGGAAGAGCGACACCACCACCACCAGCGCAAGGAGCCAGGGGGGGGGTCCTGCTGGTGGTGTGGTCCGCCTCCCCGCTCGTGACATGCTCCATCCCTGCCTCGAGAAGGCATCGTGGAACTCCTCGCTGGAGGTGCACTCCCCCTCGCTGGACGTGGCTCTGGGGACGGGCGTCCCGCCCGCAGGTCCCACGGGCACTAGCCCCCCGAAGGCCGAAAACGATCAGAGACCTCCTGCCGCAATCTTTTCAAAGACGCGCCCGCTGGGATGCGAGCCCGATGCGAGGCGGGGACTTGTTTGTCCATGAACCACCGCCTGCGGGGTCGATCTTCGGGGACATCGGCAGGCAGTGGGCAAATCCGCCGACCCTGTGTCGGCGTGTGTGAGGGGTCTGTCCGTTCCCGTCGTTCGTTCGTCGTCGCCTCCGTCGTCTCCTGTCCCTGCGCCCACCCTTTCCCTGGCCCAGTCGTCTCCTGTCCCTGCGCTCCCCCTTTCCCTGGGCCCGTCTCCCCTCCTCCCCTTTCCCCTTCTTCCCTGGGCCCGTCGCCGCTCCCCCCCCCCGCTTTTCCAGGGCCTTCTCCTCAAGAGCAACGTTGTCATTGAGTCGAAGGGAAGCCCCTTCCCTTTGATCCCTCCCCTGCCGGGGTGGGGGGGTCCCGGGGGGGGTCCCTGGGGGGGTCCCGCGTCAGATACGACTCCCCCCCTGGGGGTCCCGGGGCCCACACAAAGCCTCAGCACGAAATTGCCACGGGCAACGCGTTGCGGCAGCCGTCTTGCGCGACAGCGGCTTCCACTGCCCAAGCGGCCGCCGAACAGCGGGAACAGTGAGCTCCGCCGCCAGATTGGCAAGTCCTGGTCCTCCTGTGCCTCTCCCTGCTCTCCATCCTGCCCTCTGCTCCTGCTTTCCTCCTCCGTCTGTCTTCCTCGGAGGAGGCAGCGCGCTTCTCGTGATCGACAGGTCCACCAGCACACGCTTGACGCCGAGGGCGCCAAGGCGCGTGGGATCCAAGCAGGACGGATGCGTGAAGCGTCATGGGAGCGTCGTTCCCAGACATCCGACGTCTCGATTTTTTCGAGACACGGGTCCCCGAACTCTCGACCACTTCCCCAGGACAGGTTTTTCATCCCCGAGTCGTTTTTCGACGATCCCGAGGCCCAGTAACGGCCCCGAGAGGCCGAGAACTATGCAAACCCTCCGCCTCTGTTTTTCGAGACGCCAGGATGTCTGAGCTAAACTATGAGGGAGTCTTGAAAGAGAGAAAGGGGAGAGGGCTTTGGTCTCCCGTCTGCTGTTGCCCGCGTTCGCTCCCTCAGCTCCCCCCCTCGGACCCACTCCCCCGCTCACTCCAACGTTTGATCGGGGCGCCCGCCTGCCGCAGCCACACCGCGTCCACGGGAGGCCCGCAAACTCGGCTGCCCGATCAGCCCTCCCTCCTCCCCTCCGTCAAAGCAGGGGGAAGAGTAGGGAAGGGGAGGGAGGGGGAGCAGGATCAGGGAGGTTGATAACGGCGACGAGCAGAGGAGCACCCCTTCCCCGCCATCGTCGCGGTCTCGAAATAGGGCTTCGTGAGCTCTGCCTTCACAGGGACTTGCCTCCCGTCGGCCCCGCGCCCGGAGCCGAAGCTTTAAATGACAGCAGGCAGCTACGAGAAGATATCTTGCCATCATGGAATCAAGGGACACGTTTGCCGTCGAAACTTGAGCTTCCTGAGGTGCCCAAAGGCCTCGATGGGCCCCCAAGGCCATGGGGGGAGATATGAAGCTTCCGTGGGGCACCGCAACCCCGGACCTCTTGACGCCGTGCTTCTCTCCACGTCGAGCATTCGATCCTCGATCTCGGCCTCCGGTGGCCGCTTCTGGCCCCCAGGGCCACCAGGCATAAACACGGCTCAGCCTGTGAACGCAAACGGGCACCGGGGAGGAGGACCTCAGGGCCTCTGCCACAGGCCCGCGGGAGGGGGAGAACCACGGCGCCGGAGGCCCGGTGCACCTGGACGCGCCCGGGCCGATCCTGGCCCTGCTCCTCGCCCCGTGCACGGGAGGTGTTTGTTTTAAATGCCCCAGGGAAAAGTCTGCACACTCCTCCTCAGAATGGCCCCGCGGACCTGTCTCGGGTTGCATCCTGACCAAAATTTCGAGACAGATCCAGCCGCGGAGTCGATAGGTGCAAACGGAACTTGGAACAATCACAAGAAGCCAGGGACGGATGGTCCTCCTAGGGGTGCGGACCTCCTCTTTCGCGGCGTCCGTCCCATCCTGGCCAGTTTCGCAACCGAGGCGGTTTTGCCAGTCCTGCCCCCCCCCCCCCCAGAGACCGAAAACGGCGAAAAACATACGTCGACCAAAAAGCGACAGCAGTCGAACACGCGTTCTTCATCGAAGCACAACCAGACCGCGCAGCCTCACGACCCAGTTCCATTGCGACGAGGTCGCGACAGCGGCTGCCCACGAATGTACGGTACGCAGCCGCGCAAAGCAATTACGGCCCATAACTAAGCTGCAAAACTACACAGTGGTTGCCAAACGTCAGCGGCTGTAAGCAAGAGCAGGCGACAACAGCCACCAGGCTCCACAATGTGAAAACATATGATTTTCTGCGTCCTCGTCCTCGTCCTCGTCCTCCTCCTCCTCGTCGTCGTCGTCGTCGACGTCAAAGTCCGACCAAGAATATTCCCTGTGCCCACCCTGGCACATTTCAGACACAGAGCGGTTGTGGACCCTCCCTGGGCCCGAAGACAGCCCCCACGTGCCGAAACTAAAAACATCCCTCCGAACAAAAGAACATAAATATTAACGGCCACCGTCGTCCGCGCCCAAAACCCGCTCAGAATCGCTCACAAGAATCCTCTCGTGGTCCACCCTGGACAACTCTCTGCGCTGCGTCCAGCCGCGGCGACGAGGAAGAACCTCCCGAGATGTCCTGCAACTCCTCCGAAACGAAAACAACGACGCCGAAATCGGGGGAAATCGAAAGTTTACTGCTACTCCCCAGGCCTCTCCTGGAGTGCGCTCTGACGAGGCTCTCCAGGACGAGCAGCGGCACCGGTGCCGTTCTCCCCTGAGAGTCGTCGTCGTCGTAGTCGTTGTCAACGGCCCCTCCCCGGGCGCCATAGCGGCCCGCAGCACTTGGCGTTGATCTGCAGCGCGATGGCGCTCAGAACGGCGGCGATCTGCGTGCGCTTGCGGATGGTGCCACTCTGCACGATCTGCGTCACCACTGGGAGCCTGAGGTCGGAGGGGCGTAAGGGTATATTAAGGGTGGGGTTAGATGCAAGTCGCCCCAAATGCCATTATGATAACGAATGGATGGTGAACACCCAGCTGGGCTCGCTCCCTCACACTACCTTGGGACAACTACGACCCACGCGATGCGAGAACAAAACTAACGAACGGCGGAGCGCA